CTACAACAGCGAGAAAAAGTGTTTACCACACTGAAAATGTGGTGTGGCTTTACTAGTACATTCGTCTAGTGGAAAGACCAGAGAAGTTGTTTGTGCATTCACACAACTGGAGAGAAAGTTTCCAATGTGGGTTTTTCATGTTAGCTGTGGCCAGAACTACTGTTCACGTCTTAAATACCAGCCAGGTGTCAGTTAGCTATTCCCTTTTCACAACGCAGGGGAAATTCAGCACCTTACACAAAGAAAAAAACTACTACTTTACTCTCTTCTCCTCTCCCCAGTACAGACAGTTTAGAAGGTGATACTTTGTTTGGGACCACATGACTTGGTCACTTTTGAGGGAGGAGGATGCGGTTAGACTTCTCTTAAACATTTAGCTTGGCCTCTATAGTCTTGTGCTTGGTGAACCTCACTAGTCCTGTTTTACTGGGTAGTTTGTGGGGAACAGCTGGCTAGTGGTTCCTCCCTGTTTTATTAGGCAATGTAGTTCATAAAAGTTGCGGCCTTCATTTTAACCATATTCCTGTGTGGAAAGTCTTGTTCACTGCGGTGCCTGGGCCAGAGACATTTACATCACTGTAATCAACAAGCACTTAAAGCAGTTATTCCTTAAATGACCTTAGGTAGCAGGAAGCAAGATGGAAGAATGCCCTTCCAAAAGCAAGGATTTCCAACTTTAGTAGGAACTGTTTTTTACATGTACAAACCCAAGTGATTATTTACCATTTCCACTCAGTTGTCAGCCTAGTCGGCAGCATTAATCACTGAGTCTGACTCAAAGCAGAGTAATCAAGCAGTGTAGAAGAAAAGACTATCTGGTAAAGACATTAGAGATGATACTGATGAAGCAGAAACAGTTTGGCTTTTATTTGCACATTTCTCGTACAATTAAAAGTAACAGCTGCTTTCTACTCTGCTCCAGAGCCAAGTGGCAAAATCAACCCAATAATGCAAGTAAATATCTTCTTTATTTTTAAAATGCAAATTTCACTCCCCCCCCCAGCATTTTCTTTTTCCTTTCAAGAAGGACACTTACCTTGTTCGAGCAGATGTAATGGCAATTTCCACCTTGAAGAAGAGGAGCATCTACGGATCCCAGCTACAGAGACTTGAAATAGAAAAATTAATATGACTGAAACACAAAAGGAAATCCATGTGTTTGTATAAGCACAGGAAGTAAGAACAGAACAAAAGTTAAAAGAATGGCTTGTATTGGTAACAGAGGACACAGTTCTCGTTGATCACCATGAAATGTGTTGTTTCCATCAAGCACTGAAGAGGACAGGCACAGATGACTCCCGAGCTAACGACCCTGCATTCCTGAGGAGGATGGCAAAAAGGTTGCAGGCTCTCACACATGCCATTCCTTTTTCTGTCAGCCCAGATTTTCACATTTAAGCTTGATTTGCACCTCTTCTCAGAGCCTGGGAGAAGCATACACATACTTCCTATGTAGGTAGTGGTTTTTGGCTTTTTTGTAGATACCTGCATGTAGGAAATGCAACCTTACACTATGTTCTATACAATTTACACATTCACAAAGGTCTAGTTTGCATTTGTACAATTTGCATTTGCAAACATAGTAGACTGTGTATGCCACAACTATTGAATCAGGGTAATTTAAGAACAAGGGGGGAAAGGAAACACAATTGCAACTGTGCTATTTCTTCTTCAAACTGAAACTGATTACCAACAATTGTTTTCTAATGAAACTGGAACAAAATGGTGGGAAAAAATACAGTATTTCTGATTGCCAGCTTGAAACGTGAGCAGAAATGAAAAGCAATGGCTTGCACTGAAAAATGTGACCAGGAGCATGTGGGGGAAGATGTGAGGGAGGGAACTGGTGGCATCCAAGAGAGGCACAGAAATAAGCAGGTCCCAGGAAGAAAAGTTCCTTTTGACCCAGATGAGGAGTGAGCTGGATACGTGTCTCTGTCTTCCATGAGGGAGGAATGTGTTGCACAGGATGAGTGGACTTCGGAGAGTGAATAGTAAGAGACTCCCACACTTGTCTCTGACCTTCAGAAATTCCCATAGATCTTTCCCAGCACCAGCTTCCTACAACACCCACTTAACCCTTCCAGCCCCACTTCCCGACCTACATAAAACCTCCGACTCCTCCACCACTGCCTGTCTCCTCTCCTAAACCTCTCTGGTTCCTCCTGTCACATTCCATTACCTCTGTCCCCTCAAAACTCATTCAGCAGTTGTACTGATCCCACTTAGGGAGAGCTGCCAAGCCTTCAAAGACTCGAGCCTTTTCAGCTAAAACTGAACTGGAACAACTTCAGTGATAATCAGAAGATGAAGAACCAAAACAAGTGAAAATATTTCTTAAACTCACTGCCAATCTGATAAAGGTGGAAGATTTAGTAGTGGCATAGAACAGTCAGAGAACAATCAGTCAAACAAACAGCATAGAACAATCAGTCTTACAGACTCTTAGAAGTCCACAATTGAAAGTGAAAATCCATGTAGGCTAAATCTAAGCCTTCTGGTTTGCTTTTCTCAGCAACCTTCCATGGACTCCTGCAAGGTGTTTTCAAACACCCAAGACTCCACTGATCAAGAATTACTGGTTTAGGAAATTGAAATGAAGTCATATAGCTCTTCCCTGCCTTCTTCTGAAGTACAGTGATAGGAAACTGTCTATACCATTTATTTTCACATATTAAGAAGTCAATTTAATTAAGTAGAAAATGCTCAAGCAAAATAATAGGCCAAAACTTGACAGAAAATGGGGATACAATTACTTTCTTATTTGGAGACTAAATAAAATATGGGAATTTTTCAACTGTTGCCATCTCACTTATCATTGGTGCTCTCAATTACCAGTGGATTACCAGTGAAATTTCTTCATAAATAATATAAAGTATATAGAAAGTACAAGGAAAAACAAAAGAGCAAATATCAAAATACTGACTGTTCACTAAGCATTATGTATTTATTTCCTGTGTCATTGGGTGACCCCAGCATTTCTCAGTGAAAGCTCTATTCAAAGGCACTGCTCAAGGATTTTTTTCTTAGTATTCTAAAAATGCAGAAGAGTTTCAAATTATTTGCATACTGCCATCGATGATTTTTTTTTTTTTTTTTGACTGCAGTGTGCTCTGTTTGTTAATTCCAGTGCTTTTCAACATGCTTCATATATTTCCTTTACCTGTAAAGCATCAAGCAGGTCAAGACTAGCTTCCTTTCATCTATAAAATGTTGTTCATATTTAGCAAATAACAAACTAGTTAAGATTGCAATGACAAAACATTGCAATTTGAAAACCTCCCTAGAGGGTACCGTACCACTCCATATAAAATAACCACACCACACCATTAATGTGCTTGCTGAACACTGACAAATGTATAAAGATTTGTAGTCTGATTGTTTGCTCTGTTGTGCTAGTAAAAGTGAAATAATGGTAAACAACACTATTTTGTAGTTTCATTGTTAATTAAAGCAGCTTTAATCTTGTACATTGATTTTTTTATATAGTAAGAAACAATTTTAGTACATCCCTGTCATCCATAGACTTAAAAACTGCAAGGAGGCTCTTGGGGGCTGAGTTGTCCAATTACATTACTATGCTGTCTCCTGGGGTAGTTTCCATTTATCTTTCTTGGCAGTCAACAGCAAACATGCATGTTTATCCATATCAAGTATTCTTAGTATTTCCAAAATTATGCCTTAATATATAAGTGCTTAATTTAAGTAGATCAGGTACACAGCCTCAAGACAACTTTAAGCCCATGAATGCCATATTCAGGATGAAACAGTTCTTCCTATACTATTCACTCATTTAGATGATGATGCTAACTTTTAATAGGCTCAGGTGATTTATGGAGGAAAAATTTATATAATCTAAGAAGAAAATTAATGTTGGGGTTGTGTATTATAACACACACTTTGTCATATTTCAGATGAGAATACATGTAGCCTGGAGACTTGGAGCACCTTCCTCTCTGATCACGCTGTTTTTGCACATGCAGCCCAAACCCCCTTAATTCTCATCTTGGGGGTTGGATAGAACCCCATGTCCTCCCAAAAGTTCTGGGAAGCTTTGAATTAATCTTTCTTGTTCTTTCTTAATGTGATTGAGGTAGAATTGGCAGGAATATGAACAGTTCCCTCAACAGTGGCTCATCAATCACATGTCTGCCCTGATGCGAGATGTGGAGCTTTTAAATGTCTAATGTCAATTGTACAATCATTTAGTACATCAGAAATCACGAAGGAAAATTCAGTGTTTGTCTCTGTTGCTCTTCCTTCCAAGAAATGTTGTTCAGCTGAGCCCTGATGCTGATCTTGCTGAAGAAAACTTGCAGTATAATTAGGCCAAAAGATGATTTGAAGTGGAAAACAGTTGATGAGTAACATGTTTAATTTGTTTTGAAGTATGAAGAAAGTGACAAAGATGTGTGTCTGGTTTTCCATTAGAAATTATGGTCTTTGCTCCCCCCCCCCCCCCCCCC